AATCCAGGAATTACAGAAGAGACATTTGAACCAGAAAAAAAACAGAGGAAAGAAACATTTTTCATTAAAAGCATTTTTCTGGCCTCTGCCTTTTCCTTAGTACCATTGAGAAGCTCCATATGAGCCGGCAATGTGCTCTTGCGGCCCAGAAGGCCAACCGCATCCTGGGCTGCATCAAGAGGAGCGTGGCCAGCAGGTCGAGGGAGGTGATTCTCCCCCTCTACTCTGCCCTCGTGAGACCTCACTTGGAGTATTGTGTCCAGTTCTGGAGTCCCCAACATAAGAAGGACATGGACCAGTTGGAGAGGGTCCAGAGGAGGGCCACGAAGATGATAAGAGGGCTGGAGCACCTTTCCTATGAGGACAGGCTGAAAGAGTTGGGGCTGTTCAACCTGGAGAAGAGGAGGTTCCGGGGTGACCTTATAGCGGTCTTCCAGTACCTCAAGGGGGCCTACAAGAAAGATGGGGAGAGGCTGGTGAGGGGGGGCGCCTCAGCATCCTGCCCTGTACTAAACAGGAGTCTCATCCTCCTCGTATATATGCACGCTACCACCGAGTGTTTTGTAACTTTGTGCTAAGCCTGTCTATCAGGCTACTACATGAAGAATGAAAGCTCTATCCTAAATGCTGAAGATTAGAATAATCCAGGAATTACAGAAGAGACATTTGAACAAGTAAAAAAACAGGGGAAAAAAACATTTTTCATTATAAGCATTTTTCCGGCCTCTGCCTTTTCCTTAGTACCGCCCTAACGATTCTATGATTCTATGATTAGTTTGAAATGCCTCATTCATACAGTTCTTTCTGATACAGCCTCCCATGGAAGATGAAAAGCACTCACCTTCCTCTCTTCCCAACTGTAAGCCTGATTTCTACCATTGAAGTTTCAACAAACCCCTCACACCTGCTCCTGATGACCTGGCCATCATGACTTTTTCTGCTTTTACAATCAAACAGCAAGTCAGCTGGACAATCTCCAGATAACTCTGTGCTTACTTGGTCCCCTGTGTTTGTAAACTGCCCTGCCTGAACCAACTGCAGATTATTTCCTAAGTCCATTGCATCAGGACATCTCATCATCTTCACGTAATGACCACTACGACAAGAGCAGGCAGCAAAATAAGTCAATATTACGTGTGTGGGATGGTGGCGACCAGAAGGAGGAATCTGACCAAGAAGTGGCTCCTACTGAGAACTCTCAGGCTGAAGTCAGTCAGGCTGGGAATCAGAGGTGTATGAAAATCCACTGACACAAGACACGTGAGATCTCAGTGGACTGGATCCCTGGGATCTGGGGCTACCTGCTTTTTCACCTTGCTTCACGTCCAGTCTGTAGCTTCCTTGCTTAATGCCTCGCCGCATGTTGCTGATCATGTGTCTTGCTTCATTCATTCAAGTTTTAAGATCATTAGCAACTGTGGTGTCTTAGTCATTAATATTCTGGCATTGTCAAGAGTATTTTATTTATTCACTTTCATTGGCCATAACCCAATCAGACTCTTCAAACGTACTGCAGACATAATTACTACAGACCAGATATCTTACCAAATGTTTTGTACGGACCATCTACTACAGATTGATCCTGCTGTTCACTGGAAGTACAAAAAGCAGCTGCAATAACAGAGGAAAAAAATGCTAAATGCAACTGGGGAGGCTTCCTTTGAAGTGAAGCTTCCAAGAAATCATACAGAAAGCTGTAACAGACACTCCTTCCCAGCCAACAGTTTATGTCAAGCTTTGTAGAAAGGCACCCTAAGGAAATACATATGTTAAATGAAAACTGCATTCTAGTATGCTAAACACTTATTATGAAGTTCCTGTGCCTGCTCTCCTCCAAAAAACAGATAAGAAATGCAAAACAGCTCGGACTGTAAATGAATTACTTGTTTGAAGTCTCAAACCCTCAAAAATGGTGAAGGAGGAGGAGTTGTACAAATTCCTTTTTAGCCAGCAATTGTGTACAGACACTTCAGGGACCACACATCTCAAAAGACTGACAATCTCTTCATATATTTTACAGCTTTTAAGCTACTGGCTTTGATTCAAAGCAGAGCTTATAACAACAGCTGAAATACTTATGAGGCTTTGCCTGGACAATCGCTGGAAGCCTCCTCTCCTTTTCTGATAGACAGGAGTCAATGTAGGAAAGATATCACTCCCCTACCCACAGCATTCAATGGAATAAAGGATTTGTGACCCTTCAGAGGTGCCTCTTTGCCAGTCAGAGGTAGAACAGTAGCAGAGAAGCACACAGCTGGGGGCTAGGGAGCACAGCTCAGCTCCAGAGCTCATCCCGCTAATTAAAATTCAGATTATGAGTATGGCTGTTTGGCTTGCAGGAGCAGGTAGCATGCTCCTTTTGGCCAGGCAGAGCATCTTGTTCTCCTTCCTTGTTACCATCAACTGTGACGAAATAGTCAAGGAACCATGGGCCTGGGTAAGTCTGGAGGACCACCACCACCACCAGCACGTCCAGCATCTCCAGCCACTTGCCAGGCTGCATGAAAATCTCAGCACCCGTGTCCATGAGTGGATGTATTTGTATCAGATGCTGGGAGCAGCGCAGGAGGCAACAGCTTGTGCTTCTCTGGAACGGTGTTAGGCATCATAAACTCAGCATAAAAATCCATATGAAATGATGCCAATCTGGCCGCACTGCCATGAGCGTTGGTTTGCAGCAGTCATGGAAATCCAAACTGAGAAAGCAGCACTGCAAAGTGAAGCTCTGGGGAAATTAGCCTCTCTCTCTCATCTCCATTCATCTCTGCTCTGTTTTCCCTGCTAGCCACGCATGAAGGACATTCCAAGAAATACTTCTTGCAACCTGTGACAGTTGTGCCATGCAATTCTCAGTTTTTCTCTGAGTAACAACGCTTGGATAGAGAGTGCAAATGAGACCCAGCTGAGAAAAACTTTCCTTCCACGATGCCAGTGCTATGATGGGATTCGGCCTCAGAGGCAGAGTGCTGCCTGCGCAGCCACACGTGCGAGCGCTCAGAAGCTCGAGACGAGCTCCGAGGGCAGCCGCTGCCTGCTGGTACGAAACACAAAATACTCATGGAGGTATCTGCAGGTTCAGCGCTGTCCACTCTGTTCCCATTTAAGTAACTACCCCAGTATATTTTCAGAAAGGTATATCTCCATTTCACACTGATAACGGGCCCTAACAAAAATTGCTGCCTAGTTGAAAATGCATATTATAAATCCCAAGGCCCATACATGGAATGTGGCATCTCTCTACAGCATTTGCTAGGACATGCTTTCCAGCAAACAGAGGTGTTTAGCTCCAGCTGTGAGGAGTGAAACTCTTCCATTAGTGTCCTGGAGCTCTTCTTTGGTTCTGTATCAAGTAATCTGCCTCAGTCCCACAGTGTACAGGACGATTTTCATTTGTCCAGGAAAGCTTTCAACACAAACCCATAGCATTAGAACAGGAAACCTTCACTTTCTTAATTCAGTACATATCATAAGGCTGCAACACGTTCAACTCAGCACCCTGATCTCCACAAGACCAAGTCCCTGAGGTTGGTGATCTCCTTTCCTGAAAGGCTGGGACTGAAATGGCTTTCCTTTTTTATCTTCACATGAGCTTTCTGGATGTGTCATCACATGCAGAGTCATCTTTTAGCAGATGTAAGTTCATAAAAAATAAAAGGCTTCCATACAGGAAAATAATTCTCACTCCTCTTCTTGCACTTAGGCAATAAAAATAATAAAGCCTAAACATGCACAGGTAGTGTCTGATGTGAAGCCTAAAAACCACGAGGAACAAACAGAGAAATAACGCTTTAAAACTACGCACAGGAATTAGCGAGACTGCAGGTGTTCTGCACAGTTGATAATCAATTATTTCCTAATTATTACTCTTTAGTACCAGTCCATGTACTAATTTAGTCACAATTTCAAGCATCTAGGCATGAAAATATGGTCCAGCACCCAACCTTTCTGTGATTTTACCTCCAGTAAATATCACTATGATATTTACTAGAAAACTATGAACCCAGGAAAGACGTACAGTTTGATCTCCACAGTCCTCATACTCAATTTATTTTCAAGGAGAAAACCTTGACCTTTCCTGGCTGGACGTTCTGCTCTAAAAGCCTTCATGTGTTTTTTAAAAAAAAAAAAAAAAAAAAGAAAAATCAGACAAATTAAGTCAAGACTCTTTGCCAGCCACACACAGAGCTGACAGGCAGAGATGGACTGCACACCAGCTTGTAATTCAAAGCACATAGACTGTGACATATATTTGATTAATAGTTAAGTTTTTAAAGGCAATTGGGATTTTTTTAATGTAATTGAATAATTAAAAGCCCTATTCCCTGAAACCATTGAGCAAATGGATAGTGAGTGGAGAAGAAAGTCCAATATTGTGTTATTTGCTAGTATTTATGGAAAGAGCGTGAGGTGGCCCTACGTGAGGGATCCTGTAAACTGCTTCCAGCCACGCAGACAGACATTTCGGGGATGCACCAGAGTACAGAACACCGTACCTGACCTGAGCTGGGGCTCCCTCGGAGCACCCCAGCACCTCCACAAAGATTTCACACCCCAGAGGAGAGAGGGTCCTGCTCTGAACTGCCTCCTGGATGAGCATAAATGTAGGTGCTTTGACACTGCTCCTGCTCTCTTGCTCTTCCTTCAACAGAAAAGGAACCCGCAGAGATCAACCACACCAAGCTACATGAAGCTGGCAGGAAAACCACCCAGGTCATCTGCTGCTGACAAACTGGAAGCAGAGACAGTGGGGTTTGGATGAGCTGGCCTCCAACTGAACTCAGCTTATTTTCAACTCCCCCTTTGACAATCCCTTTCCATGAATGCCGGTACAAGGCACCAGCAAGGTGCTGAAGGGGAAACACTGCAGAGCCCAGTTCCAGGCACATGGCAACAAAACCTCCGTGCTGGGATAACATGAGTGTCACCCTCCAACCCTGAGTCGATGAGTCCCTTTGTGTCCTTCCAGCACCCAGCACTCACCCTTACTTACCAGACACTCGATCGACACTATACATCCTCTCCAGCCTCTTTCTGTGCCACCCAGTCTCGCCGGATTGATGCTGCTCCAGGTCAAAGGAATGCTGGGACGGGGCAGCCAGCCGGGTGCAATTCGGGCACTCCTTGGAGCCCGGCCGGCTGCCTGGCCAGCCCTTGCAATGCCTGCTAACGCCGTGAGAGCCGCCAGCACTGTGCACTTGGTGGCCGTGGTGGCATTCCTCTTGGGCAGCCCCCTTCATCACCACCAGTTCCATACTTTCGTTCTCATGGTCCGACAGCATCGGCCTCTCGCCGGAGATTGTGTAGACTCGTGGCTTCGGTCCCTCGTTTGGCATCTTCTCTGACTGCTCCTCGGAGAAGCTCCTCTCAAACTTGCCGTCTGAGATGACGGAGAGCCTGCGCTTGTTCTGTGCCGCCTGCTGCATCTCAGGGGAGTCCTCCTGTCCGATGTAGGAGTCTGCTAACAAGTGATCTGAAACAAATGGCACACTTTCCTTAAGACCAAAGCACCCCAGACACCAACAAATTCAGGAAGCTCTTTGTTACTGTTGCAGAAAGGAGAAGGGGGAGAGAGAGAGGGTAAGTTCCCCCAGGAACCTTTTCAGATGAACGTATGCCCATAGACCTCCAAACCTCCAGAGCTGGAACTGAAACGAGAGACACTTCTCACCAATATGCCCAATATTTTAAGCGTGCATGGCCACCAAACAAGGCTGGAAGCAAATGCAGGTCTCACTGCACAGCCTGAAAACACGTACGTGCAAAACAGCCCCGTTCAGCTGCGCGGTCCCGTCTGCGTCAGTAGGTTTGGCCACACGAGGGCTACGGAGCTGGTGAAAGTCTGCAGGACAAGGACCAGCACCAGCTTCTCTAAGAAGTGACAAACTCCGAGCGTTTTGTGCACCAAGTTACTATGGGCAAAACCATCGTGGTTTGTTTTTCCTGCCCCTGATTTTCCACCAATTAGTTTGACATGAAAGAAGAGAAGAAGACTTCAGCCAACAGCCACGACACAGCCCCGCGACACCGGCCCCGGCAGATGGTGACGACACAGCCTGTGGAAGCCGCCCTGAAGGAAAACACAGCCACTCCCTTTGTAGGGTAGGAAGATGGAAAGGAGAGAGGCCCATGAGTGCAACTATCTTTGGAGCCCACACACTGGATGAAGTGCCAGGAAATCTCAGCATTTCCATGGCAATTCCATGCATGAACCCAACAGCAGCTCCCACCCACCTGCTAATCCTTTTTTCAAGTGGCTGTTAATTACCTCTTACACTTCCCTTCAGATGGGAAGCAGCTAGGGGACTCTTCAAAAGGCTCAACAGGGAATGCATTATTCATGTGACTACTACCCCAGAAAAAACAAAATCAGTAGTGTCCAGCACAGACAGCAGCATTTTAAACAGAGGCAGAAAGTAAACCCAAGCCTTTACTTCATTAGATATTTAATGAACATCTTTCCTTTAGCTCCTGAGCCATGACCTGGAAGAACTCAGCAACAGTCTGCCTACCTTGTAGCTGGCTATGAAGACATGAAGGAGGAAGAGACTTATCTCAGGATAAGTCTGATGTTGTGTGTGTGCAACATGGGCCTTTCGCTACTGCCACATTCTGCTTCCTACGAAGTGCTCTTGTGCCCCTCTGAAAAGAGCCCTCCCAAGCTGAGGACATACACCTTCAGCTTTTGAATCTGAAGCCCATCCTGGATCGTCCTTACGTTGCCCAGGGCCTCTCCCCTGCTCTGTCTGCAACCAAGACTGAACTGAATTGAGCTGGTATAGGTACAGTGGGTCACCTCGATCTCATTCTTCTGCTTGAGATACAACTTCCTCCAGCATCACTAAGAGACAAACACGGCTCTGGCCACTCTGCTCAAGAAGTGACTGTCAGGACCATTCAGGCTGACACAACTCATGTTCACCTCACTGTCTCCTAGTGAGACCTCACTGTCTCTGGATGCTGTAGCTGGCAGCTGTGCGACTCCTTGAATGGACCAGGAGGAGCCGTCTATTGGAGTCCTAAAGGAATAGCTATGCCTCTTCAATCTATAGCTGATGCTGTTTTTCCAGACTTCACATGAAATCCAAAACGCATGCCTAGGTGTAGTGAGGAGTCATGCACCTCACTGACACTGTCCAGGTAAAATACAAAAGGCGGGCAGTGGTCTGCTTCACCCATGGTCTCCTGCACAGAGACAGCATGGACATATGCACCTCCTTTGGGAGAACCTGATGGACAACAAGGGCCATCACCAGAACAACTGCAAGCCATTCGAGTGGAAGAAGCTGCTCCACCAGCTGTCATTCAACAGCTTGTCCACTGAGTCCTACCAGCTGCAGGATACCGTTCCATGGACCAACCAGTGCAGAAAGTGTTCACAGACTCCAAAGTCTCTCCAACTGCTTGTCACCCCTCAAGAGGCAGCAGGCCATCACATTTGTTCTCCAGCAACTCAGACCCTCTCCAGTTCCAAGACTAACTGTGCTCTAGAGTGGGCATGTCTTGGGAAAATACCACCAAACAACTCTTCGAGATCTGCCAAGATCTGTGCCAGCTAATAGTGCCAAGCACACCATATTTTAAATTAAAAACAAAGGCCAGTTCTAAGTACTTGTCTCAACTGTCAAGCTTACTAATCCGTGTGGGCACAATGACGCTACACATTTCTTAAGACTCCACAAAATAGTGGCTGACAGCTGCCCCTGTTCCTCCTGAAATGAATACTTCTATGGAAGACACACAGCCTCATTTGCACAAACACACAGGACCGTGCACCTTTACTCACGCACTGACAACATCACGATTCAGAGATCTGAGAACTTCTGAACTCTGTATCTGTGGGTAAACGGAAAAACGAAGTGCCCCAAGCAAAGCACGTCTGAAAATGCTGATGATCGCAAGTGCCGAGAGATCAATTCCAGTCTCTGTTTTATAGGCACTGAGGTCTGTTCAGCCTCAGACACAGAAGTGGGACATGACTGATTTCAACTAAGAGTCATTTTTTTTACTGAAGTCGTGACAGGTTACAATTCTTGGTCGGGTATATTTGACATTAAACTACCTGTCTGATCTAGCATGCAAAATGCAAGGATAATCCTTTCTTCCTACCTTACTTGTCCCTTACTCAAGGTGTTTTCACTTGTACTTATCTAGGGGTTTTCAAAGGCATGCCACCACACCAATGTGCTTTCTCTTTGTCAAACAACGGGATAATTATTTCTTTTGATTCAATTTAGCACCTTCGGTAACCACACATTGGAGAAGCAACTTCATACGCAAAGGGAATGTGAAGCTTTATTCAAGACTTCTAGTTAATAAAGAATTTATCTACAGAAAAAAAAAATTAGTATGGAAGGAAAAGCGATTCAAACATCCGTCCTAATGAATTATTGGCTTCTAAAAACAAACCTGCACCATTTCAGGGAGCAGGTCTGCGCTAGCGTTCACACGCATGCGCGTTCACATACACCAGTAGCCCGGAGACATTACCGGTGACTGGTTCCCTTGTCTGTGCTTGCAGTGAACTGGATTCAGGTGCCAAAGCACTGCACCTGCTTCCACTACGGCATGTTAGGTTAATATTTTGCTTCTGCTAGGAAAGAAGTCAAGCTGGTCCAGAAACCAATGCTGAATTAAATCTAAGCCACAGGGATGTTCAGTGATGGGAACCGAGAAACAGGGGACTTCAGCAATAATCAAACTGCCTTCTAAGAGTCAGCTGAAGTAGACCACTGCTAACACCCTCTGCCTGGTTACTGCTGCTCCGTTTCATTACATTTTCACATCCCTCTTGCCACCTCTCCCACAACCAGCTGATCCATCAAACTGCCACACCAGCCCAGGCCATCGTGACTCAGGAAGCCTGGCACAGTGCCCTCCTCTCCAACCACCCCGATGAACCTGACCTGGTAACAACTCTGCTCTCCCACTTGCTTTCATCAGCAACACCTTTGTCTCACGCAGCTGCAAAGCCTCCTTGGAGCACACAAGTCAGGTTCCTCAAATGGATTTCTTTTCATCTAGATTTGTGCTCTACATGGATTTATTGTGCCTGAGATACTTAACAGCAAGACGAAGGGAAGAGGACCAACGTGCTTGATCTGTGGATCACATGTCTATTGGTAACAGAAACATCCACATCATATTCTTCACTTCCCTGTCTACCTGAGCTAAGTCTAAGCCTGTCCAGAGCCTGGGGGCTCGAAAGTCCAGTCTCGAGGGCCAATCCACTCTTCACCACCCTTGTTATTGACTTGAACACACGTCTCTTTGGCTTCACTCGCTCCTCTCTGAAAATGTCTTTCTTCACCTTCCACGCAGCACTGCCCAGCCCAGTCACCAAGGCATGCCTATCACCAGAGACACAACCACCACCAGCAACGATAACCTGCACTGGTTAATTTGCAGTATCTTGGGAAAGAAAGAATCCACACTCTTAGTTCCTGTTGCTCCTGATAATTAGGCACTTACTACTATTAAGTACTTACGATACATCCTTTCTCACCTGGTAACTCTAACTTGAGCCCTTGCTCTGACGCAGGTAACTAACTGTGGAAAGACTTTCACATTTTCTTTTGCTGTCATGTTTCTTGAGAGAAGGAAACGTGCTGGGATAAGCCTCAGCTGACTGATGCCCATTCACAACAGCGGAGGGACTCACCGAGCCAAATTCGTATCTGATGCAGACTGCCTTGTAACCCCATAGGGTAAGAAGTTTATAAATCAAGGCAGAATATAGCCACAAGGCATAGACAGAACCTTAAAAAAAAAGTCCCAAATTTATTACTGTATTTAGCAGCCAAACTGATGATTAAAGCACCTTAGATTTAAAACCTTAGCTCCAGCATCAGAAGCAAAGTGGCAAAGGGGAATCTAGATAAACTCTATTAAAAAAAAAATCTGTCACCTCAGAAAAATAAATTTCAGAGAGAGTCCTCTCTTCCCTGCTCCACCTCAGCTGGACCTCCCTGGACCTGACATTTATGGTACCAACTTTAAATGAAAGAGCTGTCTGGGGCACTGAAGATGAATGGAAAGACCTTAGGTTTACATTAGATGGACTTACAGCATTGTTTGTAGGAGGAGGAATGAAGTTAACGCTTTTTGTATTTGACACCAGTAGGAGCCCAGGTGATGCCCTCAATGAGGAGGGCAGACGGGTGCACTGG